TCCCCTTAAATGACGTAACAGGTAAATTTTGAAAAATTGATTCAAATTCTAATATTTTCTTAAAACTCTCTTTACATACATTCTATCTTGCTATCTCATTTGGGAGATTATGAGTGAGAAAAAGTGTGTGAATGTAACACTGCTACTGTACATATATATATATATATATATTGATAAAAAAAACTTTATTAATGTATTTAGTAGACAGGGCCGCCCTATGCTGGGGCATAGGCCACAAGGCCATGGCCTAGGACTAAGGGAGTGCATAATACCGCCGAAACCGCCGAAACCGCCAAAACCGCACCGAACCGCACCGTCAAGGCAAATTTGTTATTATTTGCCAATCGAACCGCCGATTTTTGGTAAGAAAAATGGTAAATTCTAGTGACACTTTTATTTGTTTATGTTTACAAAAATTTTATAAATTGATTTTTGTTTATTTTTAGAAAAACATAAATTATAAACGCGTTTGGTTTGAACAAATGTTTACAAAATTTTAAAAATATAAACTAAAAAATATGTTTGTTCAGGCCTAAAATATTTATATTTATTTTTATCATTTATAACCTTGCATCAGCTCACTTTTCAATCTAAATACTTTTCAACAGTAAACATTTTCAATATATTGTAAACTCTGAATGATATTAATTTTATGTATTGTATTTGATCATTGTAGCTTCCACAGATGCTTGTAATGAACTGATGGCATAGTCGTTGATATTATCATGTTGTTGCTACACTTGCTACATCAGAAGAAAGCTTCGCAAGATGCTTAACATTACGGTATCTCTCGTCTTTTTTTTACTTTTTGATTTAAGGTTTGTAATTTGAATTATATTTTTTATAAACCGCCAATCCGCCCGAACCGCCAAGGCAAATCCGCCATTATTTGCCAACCGAACCGCCGGTTTTTGATAAGGAAAATGACAAATTCTAGTGACACTTTTATCAATCCGCCACCCGCCATACGGTTTTTATTTTTCTCTCAAACCGCACCGACCCGCACTGCGCACACCCTTACCTAGGACCCTCAAAATAGACTAAAAAAAAGGGCCCCTTCATATTATAATTTAGTGTAATATATTAGGTATGTTTTAAGTCTAAAAAAATTAAAAAAGACCTGAACTAACTTAAAATAAATTGACCCATTAAAAAATTGAAAGGTCATTCAAAAAAATTAGCATTGTTATCCATTGAAAATAGACTCAAAAAGGGGTCTCTCTTATTATAGTTTAGTCTAATATATTAAGTATATTTTAAGTCCAAAAACAATTAAGGAAGACCCAAATTAACTTAAAATAAATTAATCTATTAAAAAATTGAAAGGTCCATTTAAAATAATTAGCATTGTTATTCATTGAAAATGATTTTGCAAAAAAAAAAAGATTATGCAAGTATGATTGATTTATTTGTTTTTAAAAATGCAAAAAGTGTGAGGATCAAGCGATACTTATTAGTTATTGTAATGTAATATTAAGTATTTTTTGTGATTTTGACACAAATCTTTTGACCTTTACTTTTAATTTTTTTTTTTCATTCAATGAAAAAAAAATGTGAAGAGCCCTAGAAATTTATTAGTTGAATTATCGAGTTTGAACCCCGGAAATCTCAGGGCCGGGCCTGTTAGTAGGGCTCAAAGAAAAGGAAAATAATACATTTTAAGTGAAAGAATAATATTATATGTATCACTTAGTATACTAACTAGTATATCAATTGATGATGTGACATAATTTAAGAAGTTTTTGGAATTTGTGATGTGATTAATGAGTAGAGTCAATAATAATGTCATAACTAGTATTAATATATTAGTTAGTACAAAAATGCTAGAGATCTTAAAAATTTTACCAAAAGTTTTACCCAATATCTCACATGGGTGTGGGACCCACATGGGATTCACATTGTGTGGGTCTCACACCTATGTAAGACATTTGGTAGAATTTTTGGTAGAATTTTTGGAGTCTCTAATATTACTCTAGTTAGTATACTAATTAGTACATATAACACCACCGTAAAAGAAAATATCAAAAAGGAAAAACAATAAATGACAAAACATTTTTCGAAGTGTTTACTTTAGTATTCAATGGGTTTAATATTCGTCTAAGTATTTTGGAACCGTTAAAAGTCACAGCAAGAATTACAATATTAAAAAGGTGAAAGCGAAAGTTAGGCCTCGTTTGGGAACTAGCCCATTTAGTCAAAAAGTTAAAAAGTTATTAAAAAAGTCAAAAAGTCAACAATTCATACTAAAAAGTCAAAGATTCTTTTTTCTCTCTACTTTTTGCACATCTTTTCGTAAAAAGTTAAAAAGTCATCCCAAACATAATAGTTTTTTTTAGCATATATTTTAGCCAAATAGTCAAAAAGTTACTAAATTAGCCTGTTCCCAAGCGAGACCTTATTAACCTCTCTGCTAAGGTCAAGTTTGGCATATTATAAAAAAGTTAAAAAGTCAAAAAGTTACTCAAAAAATTAAAAAGTTAACACTATTTATTAAAAGTCAACAATTACGGTTGTACAATTTCCAATCCTAATTTTTCTCTACAAACTAAGTTTTACAATTTTTTATTACACATTTTTATTTTTACAATTTTTTATTACACATTATCCATAAAAAGTCAAAAAATTAACCCAAACATCCATATTTTCTTCCTCAATTTTTTAGTCCAAAAAGATAAAAAGTATACTTATTTAGGACACCCCAAACAAAAGGTTCGACTAAAGTTTGTTTGGATAATTGGTTAAAAAAAAAAAATTAAAATAAATAAATAATTAATTAAATTGTCATTAAAAAAAATTTTCTCCCTATTTTTTTGCACGTTTTTTTATAAAATATTAAAAGGCCAACAATCCTAACTCAAAATTTTTAGAATTTGGAAAAAATATTTAGGCCTATTTTAGAAAGTGGGTTAAAAGTCACTTCTCAGCTTTTAACTCATTTTCCTCTCTTATAAAAAAGCAAAAAAAAATAATTTTTAACTATCTTCTCAAAATCAAAAAAATTTTTTTTAACCATCTTCCCAAAACACTCCTTAATTCATGAAGTTAGACTGAGCTAATATTTTGTGCTTAGGACTCGTGGAGTTGGAAGAGATTTAGGGCAAGTTTGTCGACATCAAATAGTAACAAAAAAAAATTTAAAAAGTTACTACAAAAAGTTAAAAATTATACAAAAAAGTTAAAAAATTTATTTTCGTTTTATTTTTGTACTTTTTTTTTTGTAAAAAATCGAAAAATAAAACCATCATAAATATACTAATTTGTTCATCTCATATTTTGACCAAAAAAGTAAAAAAATTATTAAAATAACTTATTCTAAGTATTTTAACAAAAAAGTCAAAAAATCGCTATGAGTTGTCACATCTCTCTCTACTTTTCTGTATATATTTTCGTAAAAAGCTAAAAAATTACTAAAATAATATGTTTTCAAATGAGACCTAAGCCTTAACTTAACGGAGTTCAACTCAGCCAATTCATCTATAAAATATTAAAATTTTATTTTTATATTATTTAATTATATAAATAAATTTTAAAAAAATAATAAACAAATATATACTTTTTTTTTAAAAAAACTTAGATTAAAAATATCCTAAAAATTTATATTTATATTTATATTATAATTAAATTTTATTAATATTTAAATTCAAATAATTATTAAAATGATCTAAATAATTATCGTACAAAGTTTATATTGTTTAATTACAAGAGTGTTCGATACATGGGTGGCAAAGACATTGAGAATAGTGACTGAAGCTTGAATTTCAAATTGGATCAAACTTTAATTGCATGTAATTGTGATCAATACTATAATAAATATGTATATATAAAGGGTCGGAGTTGTAGATAAACAGGTTGGACCGGGTTTATGGGCATCAATTACCCAGAAGTTGACCTGTGCATTAAATTGACGGGTTCAAGTTACCCGCAACCCATTTTGACATGGACCAAACCTGCCCAAATCCAACAATTTGCCCCTACTTAACCAAAAATTCCCCGCAAAAGCAAGCAATTTTAAAGGAACTGCAATAAAACTTAAAATTTAAAGAACCAGACCCAAATGACATAGGCCTCATTTGGTGTAACTGTTAAAACAACTTATAGATTATAACTTAACAGATTATAAATTATGACTTTAATCAGAAATTATTAATCTGTTTGGTGTAACTGTTGGATTATAGATTTAAGTTGCTTAGTAATGTGTGTTAAATAAGCTGTGAAATAGCTTTTTCAATTAATTTTTATTTTTTGTTTGTCTACATTTCTCATAAAAAATAATAATAATAAACTATAATCCATTTGAGTCTTTTTCTATTTTTAAAAAAATAAAAAATAAAAAAATTTAAGAGTATAACCATAAATTAACATGTCCACAGCAAAAGCTGATAATCAGAAGCAAGGGGTGAGCAGCTTCTTAGAATCAGCTGATAATCAGAAGTAAGGGGTGAGCAGCTTCTCAGAATCAGCTTTTTTGAATTAAAATAAGATGTTAGAATCAGAAACTGTTTGAAATAAGTTTAACCAAACAGTCCAAAATAACTTTTTCAAAACTAAAAGGCATAAGTTGACTCTGAAAAACTGAAACAAACACTCAGAAAATCGAAAAAATGTACAATCTAAGACCATAGAACACAGTACTGTGCAAAATAATATAGAGGACTTTTTAGCAAAACGAAAATATTTATGCCAACTACTACTCTTACTAAGGGGTTGTTTGGGATGACCTAAATAAGTGTACTTTTTATCTTTTTACGAAAAGATGTGTAAAAAAATAGAGAGGTGATGTGATAGAAAAAAGATAAAAAAATAAAAAGATAGATTATTTTTAATATGCCAAACTTACCTAATTTGGGGAAGTCCTTGGACCCAACATCCAGGCTAACTACTAACCAGCCTACTACTGGAGAAATATGGATAAGCATCATCTACCAAAAAAAACAAACAAAAAACTAAACTGATCAAATCAGGCTCCAAACAAAAAGGCTAACTACTAACCAACCTACTACTTAGAGAAAGATCAACTATTGTCAAAGGAAAGTAGGTTTTGCCAAGAAAAGGCAGCAAAACAAGCTATTTATGCCACATCCATAAGTACATAATCATCTACTCCTAGTGATTTGGGCAAGTTCCTGGACCTAATCTCCAGTTCTGCCTTAGCATTCGCAAGCCCTCCTTCAAGTTTACGAACCTTGGCTTGAGCTACTTGCAAAGCGCTCTCGTAGAACTCAACAAAGTTAACCGACTCCGAGTGTTTGTTTACCCTCTTCGCTTCGTCCAGCTTCTGTTTCAGCCAGGACAAATTCAGACCGACTAGCTCAAAGTCCTCAATCGAAATGGCAGCCCGGTGCAGTGCGTCCTCATTCACGTCAGTGACCTTAATGGTTGACATTGCTTCAATGAATGAGACAAACGATTCAAGTAGAATTGTTTGCAGTTTGGAACCCTTAATGGAGAATTTGGTGAAAGTATCATTGTGAAGGTTGTGGATCCTTTCAAGTACCAAGAATGCCTCTGAAGAAACCCTGTATGACAAAAATTGGACTTCGCTATCAAGCGATGCATCATTGAAGAGAATATTGTGTCCTATGATATTGTTTGAGGCTTGGACAGTCGAAGCATGAACACCAGCTCGAATAATTGCAAAAGTGTCACCCACTGGGGTTACCTCGCTTAAGCCGATGACTCGATTTGCTTCCTTACCAACAGGAGGAGCCACATCTTGCCGAACTGGTTCCAGGAGGCTAACTTCTCCTCCAGAAATGCCAGTAATGTCTGCTTCTACATTTCCTGAGTTATTGTCCTGGGATGGATTTTGAGACTCCTCATTCCTTTGCTCAGTTCCTTGGTTTTTAAGTTCAACATGACCAGTCTCCTTTTTTGAGTCATGTGACTGGCCAGAAAAATCAGCTTCAATTATAATAGTATCATTCACCAAAAAGCCTTCACTGGGATCATGGAGTTTACTAAGAGGCATGAAAGAAGTAAAACCCCAATCACTTCCTTCGCTATTGAACTCGTGTTCTTTTACTGTAGAATGAAAAGCATCACAATTAGCGCCAGACCAGTAATTCAAATATATGACGTCAAAGGCCATAGGCTGTTAGGAATTGATATACCTAACCACACTCAATGAGACATGGAATACAAACAGGAATAAAACAAGAAATGCAATCAAACACACAAGATCACAAAGATTTACGTGGTTCACCCTAGATTAGGGTTTACCTCCACAATCATTGCAGTTTCACTATGATCTGAAAAGCGTTACAACACAAGACAAAGAGAAGTTTAAGTGCCATTTAGTAACATTTACAGTTTATTATTTTTAATTTACAGAAAACATGAAACTTTTATGCTTATTTTGGGTAAAAATGAAAACAAAAAACATGTTTGGTATACAAGTATTTTAAAATTTTGTTTTAAAAACAAGTGAAATGCGATGGTTGTAGGAAGTGGTTGTTGGCCGCGGGAGGTAGCGACCGTTGTGACCGGTTAGAGGCGGTTGGCAGCGGTCGGAGGTGGTTGTTGGCCACGGGATGTGATGATCGCAAGTAATTGTCGATGGTCGAAGATGGTGGCCAGTTGGCCGCCTAACATGGTAGTTGAAAGTGGTTTTCAAGAAAAGGTGGTGGCTAAGGGTGGTTACCATCGGTTGGAGGTGATGGCCGGTGGTTGGTGGAGGGGGTCATTGGTGATGGTGGCCGGTAGTGATGATGAGCAATGAGTGATAGTTGGAAAAAGAAAAAAATGAAAAATAAAAATAAATTAAACAAAAAAAGGGAAACCAACTTTTTTGTGTTTGTAAACTATTTACAACTTTTTGAAAATGAAAATAGAAACCAAATGAGTTTTTATTCAAAGTTTTCAAAAATTTTGTAAATATAAATAAAAAAACTATAAATATTAACATTACCAAATAGGCCTTAAACTAATATACAAGTTTGAACAAAATTTCATCAGTTTAACACCCTCAATCTGCTATGCATGATCAATTAAAGTTGCATTCTAAACCAAAATTTCAAGCATTTTGTTCAATTGACAACTTATGTTTCCAACGGCACCCTTAAGGGAAACGATCTTGTGATTGTAATGTAGTGAATCACATGTAAAGAACATACTTTGAACTTTCAAGTTTCCAAAGCTACATAAATATGAACTTCAACATCCCAATGCCACATATACAGCGTCTCCTCACCAAATTTGCCCCACCCATTCCCTCAAAGAGAGAGAGATGCCATATAGTGATAACAATGCAGTTGCGTCATTGACAAAAATACATTTCATTGAACTAACTAATACACTCCAAAAACAAATATACAATGCCCCTCCCCCTCCCCCTCCCATCCCATCCCACCCCATCCCAAAATAATTTCCCATACCCAACTTCTCCACTAAAAAAAACAAATAAAAAAAATTAGGGCAATTCAATGCAGGAGGCTCTGCAAAAGCAGCGACCACAATTCAATGCATCATTCAAAAGTCAATTTCTCTTTATTATATACCATACTGGTCCAAATTGTAGACCAAAAAAAAAAAAAAATTAAACATAAAGCCACTAAAGCAATGGCTTTAAGCCTAAGTCACAAAGAAGGGCCATATTTTATACTCCCTCCAGTCTCATTTTGTTAGTCCATGGTCCAAAATGTTAGTCCTATCAAGTAAAAATGTGTGTAATTTTTCAAAATTATCCCTTGCACTGACAGTAAAAAGTTATTGTTAGAATTAGTGTTTTTAAATTTGATTTGAGTGCAATAATTCCATGTTGTCTTAAAAGTTAGAAGTCCAAAAGGGCCTAACAAAATGGGAACATAGGGAGTATATTATTAGCTAAGGCATGGGACCAAAAAGTGTAATAAACCCTAGAAGATATATATAAACCTGGGGTGTCATGCTATGGTGGTAGATCACCACAAATGTCATAATTGAATCTTTTCTATTGTAACTACAAAAAATCAAAAATAGTCATAACCAAACATCATATAAGAGGTATACCAAAGACCTTTCAGATTATAACAAAAATAATATCATATCACAATGAGTCATAACTATGGTATATAATCAAGTCACAACTAACACCATGACAAGTCATAAACAAAGATCACAAATGTCATAATTGGGCATACGGTATATATCCTTTTTGTGTATCTTAGAATTTCCTATAAACTTAAATATTTAGGCCGTGTCATAATTGGGCATACTGTGTTTGGTGAAAGATTTGAAAAGCAAAATGTATGAAACTATTTCACCATCCTTTTCTCTTTCTCTTTCCAAATAGCTCCCCAAATCTTTAAACCAAACACAGCCTTAAATTGCCTCCATTTCCTAACTCAATCAAACATATCTTGTAATTTGAATCCTATCCTATTCTTTCTATTTCCCTTTCCTTTCCATTTCCATCGTCAAATCTTTCACCCAAACACAACACTCTTGAGTTGCACGTAGCTTAATCAGAAGAATTAATAATGTATAGACACCATAAAAAAGCGTACCTTTCCTTACAAAATTATGGTTATGAATTTGATCGATCACAGCTAAGCTGAATTGGGCGTATCTACTCCACCCATATGGTAACACTGCCGAATCCGGAACATCTAGATACATGGACAAATGATTCGTGTTGTTCCCCTTTGGGAATAGAAGCATCCGCCTGAATATATACATTCAACAAACAAACAAGCAAACAAATAGAGAATCATTAAATTAAGATTGATCAGTAAAAATTAGGGTAAGATATGTAAGAAGAAGTCAAGTGAGAGATCAAAGTAACCATTTGTTTGATCCAATAGAGAATGTACTAGAGTAGAGCTTGTTAGTACACAAGCTGGAAAAATTTTCAATTTTCCAGGTAAATCGCTGCTAATCATGGATTGACGACGGAGAAGTCATTGTATTAGCAGTTTCTGCAGGTGGAGGTGTCAGCAGGAGAGATATAGAGTTGGAAGTTAATGGCGTCCCTATCGCAAAACACACACACACACACTCTGGTGGTAAAGAAGCAATCGCTTAAGAACTAAGAAAGTGCTGCTTTTGTGTTCTCAAAAAAACCAAAAAAAGAAAGCGCTGCTCCTTACGAAGAGAAAATGAAAAAGAAAGTGCTGCTTTACAAGCCCTCGTAGTGCTGCTTTATAAGCCCTCGTTGTAGGGTGACATGGTCCGGATGGAATCGTATTGGGACAAAATAAGAATCAATTTGTCATTTACGTTTTTTGAAAAATTAGAATTAATTTAATCCGTTTAAATCATTGAAATAATCTGAACTAATCCATTTAAATACTGATTGGATCAGTTTAGGACTAGAGATTCACATAATTAAATAACAAAAAAAAATATATATAACACTTTAATTTCATAAAAATATAAACATAGCGCTATATTTGTTCCATAATAGTAATATGTCTTTCTATAATAATGACATACTGTTCTACAATTTAAACAACTATAAGAAAATTTGTTTCACCATAAGTATTTAGACCATTACAAATTAAAACTAAAAACTAACAAACAAAAGTAATAAAAGAAGATATTATGCGGGTTTAGGTTTGAGTTTATGTTTTATATGGAATAAGAGAAGATACTATGGAGGAGGATGTATAATAAAAATATAGACTATTTGTATACGGTTCGGATCGGTTCCAATCCGGAACCGTTGGGTTCAATTCGGAACCAATCCGTGGACTACGGATTTTTAATTCTTCAATCCGGAACCGAATCACGGATTTAAAAAACCAATCCAAACCTATCGGATTGGACTGGACTGGATCGGATTACGGATTTCACGGATTCCTAACTCAGCCCTACTCGTTTGCCATAAGTTAAACGGAGCTTTTTTTCGTTAAAATTAATTATAAAAAGATAAAATAAATTTTTTAGTTTAACAAAATAAAATATTATATTTAAATTATAATTATTTTATTTTTTCTTTCAAAAAAGTCAAAAAGACATCTGGGGGCGGCGTGCTAGCATCTTCCATTTCGGTGGTGCCACGTGGTGGGAAGCCGTTAAGGCCCTTTGAGACTCCTATTGGCTCCTTCTCTGCTTCAATTGAAAAGGGTTTTGAGGGCTCCTCGCGTGGGCCAGGTTGTGCAGTGAGTACTAGCCTCCTCTTTGGGCCTCAGAGTTAGATGGGCTCATTTTCTGAGCCCCGCTATTTTGTTACCGAACCTCCTGATAGCCCAAGGTATTCTGAAACCCACTCACGAGCCTCACCAGGCCCCACTCTCCAGCCCAAGGTTCTTCAGAGCCCATTGATAAAGAGGCCTCTTTTAAGCTCAGGATTACAATTGGAATTGCCCCCTATCAACCCAGGCCCTGAATTCGACGGGTGTTTATCTCAAGCTCTGCACCAGTTATCCCTAAAACGCAAGAAGGATGACGGGGAAGATTCTGCTGCGAGTGGAAGGAAAGTTCAGAAATTGGGGGCTCCTCTGGCCCTTCTAGAAGCGCCAATCCGGATTGCTGCCTCTACCCCTGGTGCGGGGCCGAAAAAGACCAAGCGCGGTAGCCTCCGTTGCAAAAGACATTATCAGAGGAGAGGGCAGTCTTTAGTCGATGTGGACATTCATGAGGAGGTAGGTGCTTTTAACAATTCTGGTCTTCTCTCTATGGGTGCTAATCTCGCTAATTCTGTGGATGATGTTTGCCCCTCCCAAGTTCCAAGCACTTTTCCCGAAGAGGAGTAGGATGTCTTTGAAAAGGCTTTGGTGGTGCGCCCTCAAGCGCCACGACGCCAATGTTGATTATCAACTGGAATGTTCAGGGGATTGGGCGATCCCTGACACTTCAGATCCTCCGAGGGTTGTGCCAAACCCATCGCCCAACAATAATGTTTCTCATGGAAACAAAGAATGAACGATCTTTCCTTGAGAGGGTAAGACGAAGACTCTACTTTCCCAATTTTAGTTACATTGATCCGATGGGCGCTTCCGGTGGTCTTGCCTTGTGGTGGACAGATGAGGTTGACCTCCAAATCCGAGCCCAATCCCAAAATGTTTTCAGATGTGTTATTCAGTGGAATGGAGCAGCTTCTAGTTGGATGACCACCTTTGTCTATGCTCCCCCCAGATGGCCCGAGCGCAGAGCTTTTTGGACCACCCTTCAGAAAATAGCAATTGAAAATGAATATCCTTGGCTTTGTCTGGGGGATTTGAACGAAATTGGTTGGTCATGGGAGAAACAAGGTTCGCGGGAAGGTAATAGAAATCGAATGCAGTTGTTCCAAGAATTATTAGCCGTTTGTGATTTGATGGATTTGAACTTTAAAGGGGCTTCTTACACTTGGACCAACAATCAAGAGGGTGCTGCGAATGTTCGGGAACGCTTAGACAAGGCGATGACGACAGTGGAATGGCGACAATTGTTCCCTTATGCCCAGGTCGTCCATGAAGCTTTGATCGGCTCCGATCACTGTCCTTTATTGTTACATTGTGTTGTGCCTCCGAAAAGAGTTCCTCGTCTCTTCAAGTTTCAGAATATGTGGACAACTCATCCTGAATGTGAGGAGGTCATCAGTTCATCATGGGTTGGGGGATTGGTCGGCTCTCCTATGTTGCGATTGTCTCAGAAGCTTAAACAATGTAGCCATAAGCTGCTAGTTTGGAATAAGATGAGTTTTGGGGACAACCGTCTAAAAATTAGAGAGTTGAAGGAGGACATTTAGAAAATCCAAGACATGCCTTATTCAGTGGATCGGATGGAGTTAGACCGGGTGTTGCAACAAGAGCTGGCAGTAGTTTTGAGTCGAGAGGAGATGTACCAACATCAACGCTCCCGGATTAATTAGCTCTCTTTTGGGGATAAGAATACTTCCTTTTTCCATGCCACGGTCATCCAAAGAAGACAGTGAAACCAGTTGCTCAAGCTCAAAACCGAGGAGGAGGTTCTGTTAGAGTCTGATGCCGAGATAAATGCTCATCTACTTTCCTATTTTCAAAATTTGTTCACAACAGTTGCTGAGCGTGATTTTTCGGAGGCTCTGCTGTTTCTTAATAGGGAGGTATCCACTGATATGAATATGGAGCCCATCAAGCCCGTGTCTGATGATGAGATCCGGCTGGCTGCCTTTCAACTAGGCCCTCTCAAGGCACCAGGTTCGGATGGCTTTCAAGGCATTTTCTACCAAAAACACTGGGCGATTGTGGGTCCGGAGGTGTGTTTGGCCATTAAAGATTTTTTTCGATCATGGCTCTCTCGATACCGAGTGGAATCATACCAATTTGGTGCTGATCCCCAAGATTGTGGCTCCGGAGAAGTTGAATCACTACAGGCCAATTAGCTTATGCAATTTCAAAATGAAGATCATCACTAAAATTTTGGCTAATAGGCTTAAGCGTTGTCTTCACAGGCTTATCTCCCCAAGCCAGGCTGCTTTTGTTCCCGGATAGCAAATTCAAGATAGCATTTTGGTGGCCCACGAGGGCTTTCACTTCTTGAAACAGAAAAAGCGGGGTGGGCAGGCTAATCTAGCGTTAAAGTTAGACTTCAATAAGGTTTATGATCGTATTCAGTGGGATTTTCTTCAAGCTGTGTTGGAACGGATGGGCTTCCATGAGATATGGATAAAATGGGTGATGGAATGCATCTTTACTGTCCATTTCGCCATTTTCGCCAATGGAGAAAAAAGAGCTTCTTTCAAACCTTCGTGCGGACTTCGGCAAGGTGATCCACTGTCGCCATACCTATTCTTGTTAGTGGCTGAAACTCTTTCTAAACTGATTGACCAAGGCCTTGCTAACCAGGACTTTTTAGGTATCAAGATGCCTAGGCATTGTCCCATTCTATCGCATTTGTTCTTCACAGATGACGTCCTTCTATTCTTCCGAGCCCACCATACGGAATGCCTGAATATGCTTCGTACCCTACATGTTTACAGCAGTGCTTCGGGTCAAATAATTAACTTGGGTAAGTCGGAGGTCTTCTTCTCGACAAATGCCTATCAAGAGTTACAAGCTCAGTTGTGCACACTGTTGGGTATCCAAGTAGCCAGCTCAAGGGTTAAATATCCGGGGCTACCGTCTTGGTGGGGTCGTTCTAAAGCTGAGGCTTATGGCTTCTTGATAGACCGAATGTCTGCAAAGATGCAAGGGTGGAAGGGTAAACTCCTCTCCCATATGGGAAGGGAAATTTTAATCAAGGCTGTTGTCCAAGCTATCCCATCTTACGCCATGGCCTGTTTTTCCTTCCCAAAATCTTTCTGTAACAGGATCAACAAAGCAATCCGAAATTTTTGGTGGAAAGGAGACTCGATTAATAAAGGTATCCTGTGGGCCAAGTGGGAAAGTTTGTGCCTTTCCAAGCTCCTTGGAGGTTTGGGGTTTAGAGATTTCTCTGCTTTTAATCAGGCTATGCTCGCTAAACAAGGGTGGCGGCTGCTCTCTAATCCACAATCTTATTGGGCCCAGATCTTTAAAGGCCTGTATTTTCCACATTCCACTTTCCTCCACGCCTCTCGCGGAGCTAAAGCTTCTTGGGCATGGAATAGCTTGATTGAGGGGAGGGCTCTCCTTTCCAAAGGACTTCGGTGGCAAGCCCAAGATGGGAAATCTATTCGGTTTTGGGAAGATAAGTGGGTCCCTATGGAAAATTTCCAGCTCTCATCTCCAAAGCCGCCACATTGCAGCATTAACTTGGTCTCTGATTCTATTGATCCTATTCATAAACAATGGCAGCTTGGAAATCTTAAAAATTCTCTCACCTCGGAGGAGCTCCAAGTTATCCAGTCTATTCCCATCTCATGGTCAGATAGAGAAGACTCATTGGTTTGGCACCACAACAGGACCGGGATCTATTCCGTCAAGTCTGGGTGTTGGGTGGCAAAGTCAGCCAGACAGGAAGGTACTCGAGACCGAACCTCTAGCTCTTTCCATATTCCGAACGGTTTTTGGAAATTCATTTGGGGTATGGCAGTCCCTCCAAAAATCAGGCATTTCTGGTGGCGGGCTTGCAAGAATCTCTTGGCTACAAAAGCAAATTTGTACCAACATCGGTGCTCAACATCCCAGGTCTGCCCCATTTGTTTAAAGGAGGCTGAATCAGTTGAACATATGCTTTTTGACTGCGCCTAGACCAAGTCGGTGTGGTTTGGTAGTCTTCTCAATCTCTGTATTGAAAAAGAGGCTGTGGCAAATGTTCTCAAATGGTCTGTGGATTGGATGGATAAAGATAGACAAGCTGCACCAGGTAGTCTGTTCTTGAGCAAAATAGCTTGTATTGGGTGGTACATCTGGAAGACGCGGAATTCTTTCATTTTCAATCACACCCCGGTCAATTCTAAAGACACTATTGATCAAATTGCCCATGCCTGGAGAAAAGGGACGTCTTTGGGCCTTGGCTCTTTTTCATTTCGCTCTGATGCTTCTCCACACCCTCGAGGGGATCCCCCACCAAGCATAGTTCCAGCTAGTCCTTGTATAATCAATTGTGATGCTAGCTATAACCCAAGACCTTCCTAGGCTTCTGCAGCGGCAATATTAAGAAATTCAACGGGGTATCTCATTGACGGATTGGTTTCATCCTTTCGTGAAGCACAGACAGTTCGGTTGGCGACTAGTCTAGCTCAAGCTTCCAATCTTTCCTCAATCAGCATTGCAAGTGATAACCAAGTTGTCATCAAGTTAGGAGCCTCTGAGAATGTCCCTCCATGGGAGGTCCTGCCAACCCTGCTTGACATTCGCCACCAAGTTTATCAGCGCAATCTGAAGCTCTCATGGATTAGGAGAGTCCACAACAAGGCAGTGCATTGGGTGGCAACGACGTATGCTAAACACGGGCTTCCTTCATGTTGGGTTTCAAACCCTCCTTTTGCTCTTGCTGAAATTCTTAGAAATGATGTAATAGTTTCCTGATGTTTGTTGCTGTTTTAAATACCTTTCCGTTCAAAAAAAAAAAGAAAAAAAAAGAGACTTTTTAACTCGAGACTAAAATACTCAAAAAGTCAAAAAACTAAATAGTCAACCCACATCCTTAACGAATCCT